GTATCTTTCGAAAATTGGCTTTGATTCTAGGAATACAAACTACACTTATGGACAATGTGATAAATATAGACAGTTTGTTAATGGGGAGGTGAAAGTGACTTTACTGTAGTACAGTAAGCGAATGATAATAGATAATACATTTTTGTTTGCACTAATTTACTCAAGCGAGCATCAATTCGCAGTCTGTGCTTTGTAGTGGCGTTTATGATGCTGTTCATCAATTTGTTTATTATGATGTCATCAAATCTATGCAAGCCTCTGCAAAGAAATAAAATATGGAAATAAACATAACTTCAACAGCAGCATGTTAGAAGTTACGAAAATAATGCTGATATAATAATAATAACCCCTGCCAAATTCTTGAATGCTACTGTGTACTTTCCTTCCCATATATGTTGTGAATTGTGCTATACATGTATCTGGTACTATACTCTCCCTCAGCGGGGAATTAATGCTTAAATATCACTGGACCTGTTACTATATCTGTCACAAAAGGTTTTGTGAAAACACACTGCACACAAATTTAAAGGATGAACAAACTGAACATGATCAACCCAGCTCATAGTCATCCTGTTACACAGTCAAACAGTATGGCCTGATAGTCCAGTAAAACTATCTGTATCCGATTAGTAAATTTCCATGTAGGAAAGTAAATTCTTTCACACAAAAAGGACAATTACTAAAAATATACAGGGAATATGTAATTTACAATGTTTTGTAGTGTGATTAGGTCAAAATAGCGGATTGACGGTTATTTTTTGACATAAAAATGATATAAACTAATGTCTATTGATATAATGTGTCCAGTACTGTTAATCAGATATGACTTTGTTGATTGATTTTAGTCAAATTGATAATAATAATACATATTGGGTTGCATATGAGATTTTTATCTGGGATAAGTCAAATTTGCAATGTAGACTATTAAAATTATTTGACATATTATTTGTTTTTTCGCCATTCGTCATGTGGCAGGTAAAATAAATTACATGTAAAAGGGAAATTGATATTCTGTGTGTATTAGTTTGATGTCTCCTTTTGATGTTGGTTTGACCCAACTAGTTCCAATCAGATAACTAGTAATTACGTTGCTGTTTTGGTGTATTTAACAATATGGCAGTGCCAGTAAAGCATAAACTTGCACAAATTCACCAAAAAAAATGTGTATGTTCCATTTGAGGTACTTGTAGTTACTGATGATGATCACCATTCTGGATATTCCAGTTTCTACATGATTATCCCATGGTACAGTTAACTGTTAAAAGTCCAATCAACCATACAGATTCTTGAACAAACAGATTACAGTATGTGCTAATTGGCTTGCTAATGAACATTGACAGATTCCCCTTGGCTTTATATCAAAGTTATCAATTGGGCACATTGTTTGTCACATGCGTAGGTGATGAGTGATACATGTAGCTCTAGAGCAGTATACATTCACTCTGCTCAAATCTAATCTTGAAACTGAAAGCCTGCAATTCATTTCAGATTGGTTACACTTGGAGTGACAGCTTTACTCCTGTTTGCGAAGCACACAATCACACAGTCTTTAGGCTTCACCGCTTGTCTGTGTCTGTGTGTGTGTGTGTGTGTGTGTGTGTGTATGTCTGTTCCACTCATCAGATTTCAATGTTCTGGGATGTGCAGGCCTGATTAATTTTGGGGGTAAAATCTCTGCATGCTAATTACCAAATTTGCATCAGCTGTTTCAATATGAATCAGATTTTAATAATTAGCAAATTTTAACTTTCCCGGTGGTATCTCAAGAATGTTCAGCTTTCAGTGAAAGTTTGTGCATAGGTGGTCTGGGCTACTACACAGACATGATAAATACTAGTAAGCCAATTTTTAGCTGCTCCACAGATTTCAATGAAACTTGGTATATGAATGCTGGGGGATAATTTACATTACATTGGTTGTAATCCAAGCATATTAATTATCTTATTTACATGAATTAGCCAATATTTAGTTGCTCCACGGATATCTCAGGAACCACTCAATTTGCTACATATTGGTTATCTGGGATAATCAACAGACCTCCTTAGTCTGAGATGGAAAACTGCATTTATTAATTACCTAATTTGCATAATAATGAGATAAAAATGTCTGCACTTACAATAAAAAAATCTCTGCTTTCATCTTAAATTTACATTGTCCAATTAGGTCTAAATAGGTGGTTTCACATTGGAAAATAAGGCGTGATACAATGTACATAAGGCAACTTTTGTTGACAACAGTATTTGACCTGTGTTTGACCATTGCAGGCTTGTTGTGAACAATTGATTGATTGAAATAGAGACATGCTCTTTTTCTTGCAAAGTGATACAGTTGTTGGTTGACAGTGACCAACCAATAAATAGCCTGATGTCATGTGACCGTAGAAAGCAGACTACAAATCAGCCCCCAGTAACAATGAAATTATGACACAACATGTAAAGTCTGTCGTGCTATTCTATATAGGTATTGTGGATTGATGAATGATTCACCTATAATATAATTAATGAACTAGAGTATATTTGATTGAAAAAATAATGTTATATTTCTATTTGGACTTAAATTTCAATGAAGTTGTAAGGATGATAGTTAATAGGCGGATGTATAATATTATGATGGTATGTTTAAAATACCCTGTATTAAGTAATAGAATAATTGCTATACTCACTGCACTGAGCCATAGCAACCTATCTTCTTCTGTCATTTTGAATCAAGTTAACAACAAATGTTGCATTCTGTCACATAATGCAATTTTTGTTACCAATACACTGCAACATTTGTTGTCAACGAACACAAAGCTAAATATTTAGGCCAGCCTAAATAAGTCGTGCCTGGGAAGGCCCTATTTTTAATCCCCAAGTTAGGCCGGCCTAACAGTATGAACAAGTGCCAGAGTATGTGATCGCCACTGTTCTTGACTAAATATGCAAATTAGGTTTGTGGCCTATGTTTCGCAGTCTCAATTTGCATAAACTGAGGGTTTGTGATTTAATCCATCTCTTGTGACTAGCTCTTGTCCAATCAGCTCATCCTACATGTATTAGAATGTGAAAGATGACAATTCCAAAGATCACAGCCCGTTTAGAAGATATTGATATAGTGAGCGCAAGTGAAAAGTTGATACTTCTGTCAGTGAATTTTAACAATCATAGTGGCTGAAAGGGAAAGACATTTTTTCCCCCATGTCCTTAAAACTCTGTGTCACCGATTATTGTCTTGTTCTAGTGTCCAGATAAGTCAAGCCACTGTAGCTGAGTTCCCGTTCAAAAGTTCAAAGCAAACCATATCCCAAATTCAACTGATCGTTTGTGCCCACTCTTTTCCCGCCATCTAGATTCAAATTAGACAATTTAAGACACAATTTCGATGATGCAAACCAAATCTTTGTCGAGATTTGCTGCTCAAATGCAGAAAAATTTTGAGGGAAACACCAATTTGGAGTTTATAAATCTGCATTCCAAAAAAAAGAGGGAGCTTAAAGCCCACCTAAATAATGCGTTTTGACTGTGTGAAAACGAATCATATTTTAATCTTGTTTATTCAACAAACAAAAAATTTGGGCAGGCCATACGCATGTTAAAAGTAAATCAGGCTAATTTGGTACACCTTTACACATTAATGAAAGTTGATCTTATTTTGCACAATTTAACTTTTATCTCTAATGCACGTCTATTACATTCAAACTTGGTGCCCCTAAATGTTTACTACATAGTTTGAATGAGATCAAGGCATTTTCAAAATGTTTTGCCTTGAAAATGAGTACCTTCACAATACTGAAATTCAAGCCCTGTTTTGGCATATATAAACCTACATAATCATCAACAACTAAATGTAACTTTCTTGTTTCATTGTATTGAAAAGATGTACATTGTCTGTCATTTTGAAAATGGATATATTTTTGACAGTGCTTGGTACTGACGACAAAGACGGTTGTCAATGATCGCGCCAATTGAAAATACATTTACAGGGAAAATAAATATTTACCCAGGGAAAAATGTTGCACACATCAAGAAATAGTAGGAATAATCCCAAGAAAATAGATTAGATATTATTTTAAATATATCCTTGAGTTGTTAGGTTATAGAGACACTGTTACCTGTGTTTACTGCTGCATTTGTTGAGACAACTAGTTTTTTGAGAGCTAGAAGACAGATGCGCACTTCCTGACAAAAATTTACAAAAAAGCAAGCAAAGTGCTAGGCTTGATCACCATAGATCATGTCTGTTGACAACTACAACAGTTTGGTATACATGTATTTATGTATATTTACTTGACAGCCACATTGCATTGGAATGAATGCTTGATGTAGGTAAAGACCACAGTCTCTCTAAGATCAACCAAAGAACAGAACAATAGAGCAGTGTACGTGCATCATGTGACCCTTTTGAGCTTAAAAAGAAATCAGTAGAAAAATGGATATTCACCTTTGTTTGCCAAGTTGGTCTTATGGTCTACAAACTGTATAAATTTAACATTAGACCAGAATCACTTTTATAATTTATGATCACAGTAAATATTTGTTGTGTGTAGGTAATCTAGGCTACTGATACTGTAACTACAATTAATGTATGTGGAGTTTTTAATAGTATATTACGTTCTTTTGAAGTCAAAACCTTCTCAAAGTTGATTAAGATTTACATAAGCTTCACTGTGCTGCAAACCGATTGCAAAGGGTTGATGAGTATTATGACACATTTGACAGTCAAAGTAAATTCTTCTTTAGAATGTAGCGTTTAACATTACTTGTAAGGCATTTTGCTACTGGTAATACATTATGCTCAAGTACACATTTTACTTGTACGCAACACAAGAAATGAATTTTCTACTTGTATACCATGATTTCAATAGGTATTCAAAAAAATGCTTGACTGGACTGCTTTGATGTTATCAACATCAGTGAGATACCATTGTGTCTTCATGCTATGGATGTCCAACAAAGGTTCAAATCAAGCATGAATTTTAAATTGACCTATAACAGTCATCTTACTTCTCCCCTTCTTTTCAGGATGCTTTGTTGGAACTTTGTGCTGTGTTGGATTGGGAATCTCTTAATGAAGTCATACAAAATGTCTTGAAAGACTGCCTTCCCAATGTGGTGAGTATACAGTTTAATCACTAAACATGATGTAATATTTTGGTTTGTTATCTCTTTCCATATGCTAGACCCGCCACCTTGTTGTTGATATCTGCTGTCTATTATATACACTACTGTGCTGAGAGGAGTCACAACATAGAATGCAAAGTAATTGAATTCAATTCAATTAGAGAACAAATTTAATCAATATTTAATGTTAGAAGTTAGGGTATCATGGGGGAAGGTTCCTGTAAACATTGTTCTCAGTTCAGCTGAAAATTAATTCTCTTTAGAAATACCATACCTTAAAAACAAATCAGAGATTTTTATATTTCTCTCCATATGAAATTATTAATATTTCATAAAACATAACTTACAATGGAGTAGTATGCTATAATGTAAGGAATATTACATTAATGCTATGTGGCTTCTCACCCACCACACATATTTATGGTAGAAATTAATTTACAAGGTTGTCATAAAATATAATAATAGATAATCAAACATTTATAACATAACCAGCTGCATATTCTATAGTATATGAATTTTGAATAAAACTCGTTCCTGATGTTAATAACAAAAAAAAACACCTTTTGAGAACAAATTCTTTTACTCTTGGATACTATCTGTATTTAAACAACTATGAAACCCAACACTGCCACATTGTATGTGGAGAAGGGCCTATGGCAAGATAATGTGTGCGACAAAGCTCTTCTCCAAAAAGAGGTTAATTATTGTTATAAATCACTACCATCAGAATCATGATGTCATGTGTTCAATAAAAGTAACTGTTCACTGGTCTGACTGAACAAAGCAGCAATTCCTCATGTTGGAGATGATATTGGGAGTTGCATCAAATCCTGCTTTTCTTGTTCCTGTTGACAGACGTCAATGAAAGTTGATTATATCACAATCCAATTCAAGATGGTCCCCTGGTAGCCATTTTGTTTGATGAAAATCAATAGTTTTTGTCTGTTTTTGCATTTATCTTCAAATTCACACTGTTCAATTACGTTCAAACTTTGTTCACAGATAATTGTGTTCTAGGCTATCACTGAAAGTTGATTATGCCACAAAACAATTCTAGATGGTTGCCTGATAGCCATTTTGTTTAACAAAAGTTTTTGTCCTTTTTTGCATTTATATTCAAAATTTACACTGTCCAATTACATCCATTTTGGCTTATATCTCTATATTCATGCAGTCCGATTAGGTCCAAACTTGGTTTACAGATAATTGTATTCAAGCATATCAACAACAGTTGATTTGTGTCATAAATAATCCAAGGCTGTAATCTCACTCTGCCTCCTACCTGAGGCCCAGATAAGCAACAACACTGTCTTGTGCATCAAATGTTTGAGCGACGCTGATTTTAGCGGTTAGACTCATCCAATGTGGAGGGGTCATTGTCAGTTGCTGAGAAAAGTAAAAATGGAATAATGACACTATCTGTGGCTTGCTCCCTCAGTTATCAACAGTGTATGCGCAGACTACTGCTGTCTCTGCAGCTCACTCCCCTGATTCTTTTGTTCATGAGGAAAGCTCCCCATACTACTTTGAGGCGAGTGTTATGGCTGGAGTTGATGGATTGATTTGTGTTCCCTATCTTTAAGTTAAAACCAACTGCCATTTGGGGGCTGGTCCAGCTGTGCTGTGTTCATGCTATTTGTGTCCCCAGTGACCTGCACTGCTAGGCTCTGAATACTAGCATCTTAATCAGGCGCAATTTGAAAACTGTCTCGTGCACTAAATCTTACATGTGCTCATTCGAGTTCTGATCTATGCAATTGGTTTGGAGTGAAACAAGACTAGTTCGGAAGATTGCTCTGGCACTGGCCTAACTGGGCCCAGATGCATGTCAAAATCCATGAAAACATTAATTTCTGGAAAGGGATTCGTAATATTTGCATTTACTATGAAACCAAAAAAATGCAGAATCTTGATTGTTGGGAAGACATATCCTAAGAGCACCTACACTGAACCAGTCAATCCACTCTCACTATCCACTATTTCACTGGCCTCTCGACCAGATTGGTGATTGTGGAAATGAATGCTCATCATATCTAGCCATCATTGGTCCACCATACTCCGTGATACGTATGGCTGCGCTAAAATATGAGGCCCTAAGAGTGAATGGCTTGCCCCGGCGGCAGTGGTCCAAACAAGTTTAGTCCTAACCAATCACAAGATTTCAGTTTAAAATACCAGTACTCCTGTTGAACAAATGTCTCTATGAAAAAAACTTTTAAATACCTGGCCAAAGAAAACATCAGCTTTCCTCAAAGGCAACTCTGGGTCCATAAGTGGCCTACATCATGTGGTTCTGAGGAGTCCCCCGCCCCTGATGGGCTGGTCACTGATAATCTGGTAGTGTAGATCCCACTTACCGGTACTGTAGTCTCCAAAGGCAAAATGGCATTGGTTGATACTTGAAATCATGATGACCAGTTTAGTCCTGCTATAGTCAGTATATCTCAAGGGCTTAGTCTGAGACCTATTAGCAGCTTTACCAGTTCTTTGGTGGACCCTGTCACTCTTTGATCAATGAAACAACCAGTGGCTTGCTATGCTCTGGCTTAGCAAACATGTTGCGCACCACCTCATTTGTTTTAAAATTGTGTAACACAGGCCCACTTACAAATGACACAATTGTAGTTACTACCTCCTCAGTGCTCTGTAATGAGGGTGCTGCTGAACCCAGTCTTCAGTATTATTGTGTTTCTATGCGGCTCATTGCCAATAGAATCAAGATAACTAGATGCAGAAATACATGTATTTGCCTGCAACCCTGGAGAGTCAGACCAAGTCTTATCACTTGCACTACTTATGCACTCTCAACTTACATCTCAATTGCACTCATGATTATAGGCAATATCCTGCACTTACTTGTGCACTCATAAAAATGTTATAAATTACATCAAAATTGCATTTCTTATACAGGCAATATCACTTGTACTTACTAATACATTTGTATAAATAGAATAAACAAATTCAAGATAGCACATACCCACCAGAAACATTTCAAACAAATGCAATAATAAGTAAGTACCTTTCCATCACAGGCGAGGGGGAGCATTCTGGTTCTCCTCAACGTCTTGAGAAATTCAAAAAGGTATTTTCAGCCTTTTACAGACATTACTAATTGTGGTAAAATAAATATGACTGAACAAGTGAAATTGAATACACATGCAGTGGTAGGTTTGAGAAGGAAAAATAACAAATGTGGTTAGTGTGTTGAAGATGCTTGCATTTTGGTTATGTGTAGAACACAGACAACCAAATGATATGTAGTGTATATGCTTATATGTAATTCTCCAGATGAAAATGGCCAGGATTTCTTTATGTGAAAGAATCATAATACAAGTATGTATTGACCTCAATTCTGTCAAGTTACAGTTGTATAGTCTGATGACTGGGCAGCATGTGTTACTGATCAGCAATTAAAAGCAATGTTGTTTAAATAATTGGCAGCGCACAGTATTATAATCCTGAATAATAATAATCTGGGCTACTTTGTTGCATTGAGATACTTGTACATACTTTCCTCTCTAGGTGACAGGAATGGAAATAATGGTATCACAAATTGATTTTTGAAAATGGAATTCAGTATGCTGTGTGCATTTTTTGGTTTATGAATCACCTAATTGCTTGGTCTTATATTCCATTGTAATATACTTACTTTGAAAATTTTGTTCAATAGAAGGGAGTAGTCTCAAATTCAATATAGTTCATCTAGAGTAACTGACCTCTTTATTCACCACTGTTTAAAATCAGATAATATAGTTTGTAACCAACCTTTATGTAAGGGTTAGGATTGTGTTGCTAGGCATGTGTTTGAAGCATTGCGTATGTGATGCAGATTATTTGTGGTTTTGATAGGATCTGTGTATGACTGTGTACCTGGTACTGTAGTGCTACCAGAGCTGATAACAATCTTCTTCTTTTGATATTGTTGCATTTCATTCCATTATTTTGTTTTATTCAATCTATAAGCTATTTCAATATGTTATTAGTTGTTCAAATGAAGTGAATTCGGTCAGATAACAAATAAAGAACCCCTTACAGTGATTGTGTGATTGCCAACTAATCCGTGTTGTTACTGTGTTTTTTTGGCTATCTACAGAACAATATTTGATTTTGATGCGCAATATACAAATGCATTAAATAAAAACTTAGTGATACACCCCACCCCAATACACAAAAGTATGTGTATAATTATAGTGGTCAGCACCTAGCTTATCAAAATGTACATTGCACTAAGTGTTTTATTATACTGACACTTGACAAGTATAAACAACTGGGGTTTACATGTCAGTTAACTTTAATACTTATATATTGATGTACTTTACCTAATAGCCACTGTAAATAACACTACTAATTTATCATGTATACTTTTTTCAAAATTGACAGTTATCTGCTCACTAGAGCATGTCTGTGTGTGGTATCTTATCATGTACCAAATCATAGTCAAATTGA